CCAAGAGAGAAAAGGGCCCTTCCCTAGAGCAGACCCGAGGGTGCTTTCTGCAGGAGCACATCCCCAGCCCTGGATGCCGGAGAGGGGGCACCGGAGGGGCCGTGGGCAGACGGGGTTTTAGGCGGCCAAGCTGGGGCAGGAGCTCCGTGTGTGCAGGTGGTGCGTGCGGGAGAAACGCTGTTGGGTTTGCACATTCAGGAAGAGGCTCTGCAGTATTGGGGCTGAGCTAAGTTGCAAAGGGAACTCTTTTTGGAGGTTCTTCCAGGCTTGTTCGCTTTTCTCGCTTTGCGTTTGCTTTGTAGCAGTTTATAATCACATTCTGCTCTTGCGCTTTTTATTCTCTTTACGCATTTTTATTTATCTGCGATGATTCCGCAGAGGAGCAGGTGAGTAGGGGACTGAGGGGGTCCTCTGAAGAAAGGGGGTCACAGCTGGATTTGGGGCTGAATCCCCCACAAAGACCTTTTCCATGACACGCACGAAACTCGGTGCAGCGGGGAAGGAGGGAGTGGGGGGGGCGGTGTGGCGCCCGGCGCTCTCGCTGCTGCCATCCTGTGTCCAGCGCTGGGTACTGCAGCCCGGGTTCCGCGCATGAGCCGTGCTGCTGCCTTTGTCCCCGCTGCTGGCCCCGGAAGTGGGCGGTGTCACGTGGTGGCTGCTGGGGGTCTGGAGTCCCTACATGCGGGTCTAGGGGGCGTTAGGGTACATACAGCGGTCTGGAGTCACTACATGGGGTTCTGTGGTGGTTTGGAGACCCTTTATGGGGGTCTGTGGGGTGATACGGTGTGTCTATGGGGGGATTAAGGGGGACATGGGCATCTGGAGTCCCTACATGGGGGCCTATAGTTGTCTAGAGACCCTTCATGGGGTTCTATGGGAGAATATGGGGGGATTTGGGGGGTCTGGAGTCCCATTAGGGGGGCTGTGGGGGAATATCGGAGGATATGGGGGTCTGGATTCCATTACAAGGGGTTCTAGGGGGAAATATGGGAGGATATGGAGGACAGGAGTGCCTACATGGCATTCTGTGGGGGGAGATGGGGTATCTATGTGGGGATATGGATATCTGGAGTCCCTAAATGGAATTCTGTGAGGTCAGTGGTGGGGATTTGGGGGTCTGTCAGGGTCTGGGGGGGATTAGGGGAGATACGAGGGTCTGTGGTGATTCGGAGAAAACTCCAGGGACAAACTTGCCAACAAAGGTTTCAAGTTTCAAACAGGTATTCTTTATTGCGGCACCGTCAGACACGGGGGACAGCTCCTCCTAACATGTGTCTCCGAATTGCTGAACAAGCCGTCCTTATATAGTCACTAAGCATACATATTCATTATGTACAGACGTGCATATTCATGAGGACACATCATTGTTCTAGAAAGTTTCCCCACAGGCATACAAAAACATGGTGCGGGGCTCTGAGGGTCCTTTACTTCTTCCTACAATCTTCAGCACTTCTGGTGATACACAGATTGACTCCACAACTCATTAGAGTTGTAAAGTACGTATGCTTTATTCAGCGCTGAGGCGCATGGGGGTTTCTCCTCCAAAAGCATGCGTGCCCCTTTGCCACTCAGTTCGTTTATATTACATATAATGATTACCTAAACATGAGATTGCTTCACGCCTCATACATATGCAAAACCTATTCCCATCTAATATTATAATTAATTTTCTGACATTCGTCCCACTGGTGTGCCTGCACAGTGCCTCCTGGTGGTGGTTGTTAGGGGGTCGTGAGGATGAAGGCCTGTAGTTCCTCTTCATCACCGCGAGCAGCCTCTTGCTTTCACGCAGACTCAGTAGGGTTTCGGCTCCTGTCCAAACCTCAGGTTCGGTACAAGCCAGTTTTATATATCTTAAAGTAGAAACTTGTCAAGTTTGTAAATTTTGTTACTCTGGCTATCTTTTGTTCCTTTCTAAAGATGCTATTTGAACAAGAATGTCTTAAATATTAAGCTATGAATCTTATCTACTACAATTCTGCCTAGCAGCTGTAACCCCTACAGTTCTGCTTCACCATTGTAGCAACCTTGACTCCTACCTTCTGCTTCACCAAGCACAGTGACTGCTTAAGCAAGCAGGCACAATGTTAACCCTTTATTTCCTGGTATCAGTGGCAGCCCTGGAAGCACATGCAGTAGACATTTATACCAGCTTAATTGGTTCCTTAACACCACAGACCCAGCAATCATCCTGTCCTTCTACTCACCAGTTTAACTGCAGCCCATCCTGGACACCTGCCATTCCCAGATACTTCTTATCCTTACCTCCTGATTTTCTGTCCTCTTTTTCTTACACTCATTTTGTACTAAGGTCATAAGGGCCTAAAACTACGTCAACTACAACTACAGTTTATCTTATACAAGGACTCTCAGGATGTTCTCTAGCTGTACTCTATACTTTTCCTCTGTGAATCGTACACCTCATTTTCCATTGCTACTCTTACAAAGGCTTCAAACTTAACATTACTTAAAACTGATTCGAAAGGTTTATGTATTTCATTTGGTGATTTTGTGCCCCCTTGTCTCACTATGGAGTTTCTGTGGGGTCTCTATGGGTCCCAGCACAGCCAGCGTCTATCTCTCTATGGGTCCCTATGTGCCTCTACATGCATAATCCCCCCCCCCCCCCCCCCCCCCCCCCCCCCCCCCGTGTCCCTATAGAGTTTCTATAGGGTCTCGATGGGTCCCAGCACCCCCCAATGTATCTCTATGGTTCCTTATGTGTCTCTATGGCAATACCGCTCCAACACCCCCCCTCCCCCCCGTGCGCCCCTCTGGAGTTTCTGTGTGCTCTCCATGGGTCGCACCCCCCCCCCCCCCCAGTGTCTCTCTATGGGTCCCTAGGTGTATCTCTTCCCTGCAATGTCCGTACCTCGAACGCAAGGGGGGTGGTGCCGTGCAGGAGGTGGATGCCGGGCCCAGGCAGCAGCTCCCGGAGGAGGAGGGCGGCGATGCCAGGGGGACGAGGGGGGTAGGCCAGGCCCCGGGGCGCTGCGAGCACCGAGAGGAGGGATAGGGACGGGAGCGGAGCCTCCGCCCGCACCACGCTCGCCAGCGCCATCTTGGAACGACAAATGGCGGCGGCCGTGGCGCGGCCGTTACCACGGCAACGCGGTCGCCACGAGGGGTGAGGGCATGAGGCGGCAGGAGCGAGGGGGCTGGGGTCAATATGGAGGAACGGCGGGGACACGAAGGCACCTCACCAACATGGCCGCCCTCAAGATGGTGCCGCCTCAGGGGCGCCAATGGCACCTCACCAACATGGCCGCCCCCAGACTCCCACTCGTAAGGACAACCACAGAACGCTTCAAGACTGCCTGGCACCACGGGCCCCTGGGAATGAAATCCACGAGTGTTTGTGCTAACACCTTCCGAGGGACAGATCACCCTGGAGGTTCTCCCGCAGCTCCTCCTTGCCTTTCTGGAAAAGGGCTAGTGCAGTTGCTCTGACTGCCACAAGTCTCCCAGGCCATTTTAGAGAGCAAGAGCGTGGCTCCACACTGGCACAGCACAGCTCCTGCAAGCCCTGCGCTGCTCCCCCACCAGTCACACAGCCAGTTGGTAAACACTTTAATTCATACAGTGAAAGGACCACTGCCAGCCCCAACTGGAGTTCAGCTGCTGCTCTGTTTGGCTGCCAGTCTCTTGTCTCTCTCTTCAGCAATGGTCAGGCGGATGCCCTTTCCACGGGGCAGGGAGATCCACGGCTTGTTGCCCTACAGGAAAGGAAAAGAAGCCAGCTCACCTCAAGAAATGGACAGGGACAACAGAGCTCTCCCTCCAAGGGGAAAAAGCTGCAGAAGCCTCTGCCCATGCTGGGCCACATACACATGGCTCTGGTATTGGCCCAGCAGAAGCCTCTTAAGGAAGATGCCAAAGCTGTATGGGCCTACATCAGCCACTTTCACTCACATCCATGAAGAATGCACTTCAGCCAAAACAGTCACCATCCCCTTCCAACCTGTACAGGGATGGCAGGACAGCAGAGGCACTGGGAGCAGAGGGCACCCTCAGCTGGAAGGGCTGCCCAGGTCACATGATGATCTGAGCAATTCTCAGCTCCCAACTCTCACAAAGTTTAAAAATGCACAGAGCTGCTTCTTGTATATGTCCCCATTCCTGCATTTACAGATGCTTCCCCTTCCAAGAGCAGGCAGAATCAAATGGAACGTCACATTATGGGAAGGCACTTGCCTACACAAGACCCCAAGGCCTCTCCGCTTCAGCCACCAGCCCCCAACAACAGACGAGAACCCACCCCCCTTGCGTCCATATCAGGCTTACTTTGCCAATAACGAAGATGTTAGATAGTCTGGTGGCAAAGCTGTTGCCATTGGCGTCCTTCACGTGAACCACATCAAACGACCCAGGGTGTCTCTCCCGGTTGGTGATCACCCCAATACGGCCCAAATTGGCACCACCGGTCACCATACAGAGGTTACCTGGGGTGAACAAAACCAAGAACTGGTACCAGGTGCTGTGGCAATGCCCTTCCACTTGGGCTCTTTGAGGAGCAGTGCTGGAAAAGGACAGGGACAAAGTGGCCATCAGAGCACCTGGTGACACCTACATCCCATAGAAATCCTGGCAGCACTTGAGAAGCCAAACAGCAATCCGGCCTTGATGCCCATACCAAATATTCCCCACCACCTTCTAGGCTGCAGCAGCACCAAGGAAGTGTTCCCATACGACTTGTCCTGGCACTACTTATGGCTCCGCAAATGAAACCTCCCACAGTAGGAATCTCCCTACAGCTTCTCAGAGATTTCCATTCACAGCCCCATGAGAGCCATGAAGCAACTTCTCCACCAGCTTGCTGCTTCTACCTGGTGCCTGCTTGCTCTTGGAATCACTCCAAGTCTCTGTGCCAAGTAATTCTCACTGCCAGCACATAGGAGGAATCTCTCTTCCAGGTGCAGATGCTCCAGAGAAACCACCCCTTTCCCAAGGCTGCCAAAACTGCCTTTCTACTTCAGTGTAAAGATGCCTGGCATTTATACTGAACTTCCACACTGCTCTCCAGAGTGGGGAAAAATACAGCGTTTTACATGAGATGCAAGACCTACCTGTGTCAAACTTGATGAAATCTGTGATCTTGCCTGTCTCCAGGTCAATCTGGACTGTATCATTCACTTTGATGAGGGGGTCCGGATAGCGGATGGTGCGAGCATCGTGAGTGACCAGATGAGGAATTCCTTTGGTGCCTACAAATATCTTCCTCACCTTACACAGCTTGTACTGCAAACAAAATCCAACACTGCTCAACTAGGGTGACAAGCAGAACCACGGACTAGGGGACTCCTGCCCCTCAGAGTCACCAGCCACAGCAGGCCTCAGACCTAAAGCAAATCATGTGGGTGCTCCAAGGCTTGCAACAGAAGCGTGCTCCAGCCCTGTCAAGGAATGCCTCCTCCTCAGTCTCACCACAGGCTATGGCTTCAATTCCCCAGGAAAGCCTCCACCAGGGCAGTTCCCCCAGGTTGCCCTGAAGCCTGTGGTTATGCAGCAAAGGCAGAGGCTGCCTTCTTTAAGGATCAAAGAGATATCTTCGTCCCTCCTCCAGAGCACCTCTGCTTCCCTCCTGCCTTTCACCCCGATTCCTTCACAGCTACTGTGGCACTCAAGGGTCAACAGAAAGCGGTAGCCAGAGGTAAAAACATATCACGAGGAGGAAGGAGAGTGGGTAGAGTCCCCATGGCCAGTTCTTCCTCCAGCATCACTCTGCTTACGCAGCCTGCCCTTAGGGAAAACGTGCAGAGGAGCATAGACCTGCAGTTCAGGCACATTAACACACTTGGGTTGACTAAATACATGTGGGAATTGCCCCCCAACACTGAGGGCCAAAAGGCAGTTTTGCAAACACTTCCATAACAGACCTGGGAAGGAGTTCAAAGCTTTTGCACCACAGGCAGTACCATGTTTCAGATCACACTTAGCTTGCAGAGTCTATGCTAAGGCCCACCACACTAGAGCCACTGCTACCCCAAAGCTCATGTGAAAGTAACCTAGCCCATACCAACAGATACCATTTTAAGCACCAGACAATGCACCTGCAGTCACCTGAAGTTGCTTTCATGTCACCAAAATATTTCCCCCTGCCAAAGGTTTCATACTCTGACCCTGAAGGCCCTGATTTTCCCAAGGGTGGGCATACGGACTCAGCTCTCAGGGAAGAGAGCCAGCACCTCCCATTCAGGACATGCCAAGGAAACCCCATCCCAATCAAACCCAGCTGGGCCCACATTTATGGCAAGCTGAAGCCCCTCACCTTGGCCTCTTCAGCTGTGATGCGGTGAACAGCAAACCGGCCCTTGGTATCATACACCAAGCGAAAATGCTCACCCGTCTTCTCAATGCTGATGACATCTAATTTCAGAAAACGACATAAAATAGCAGATGTTACTAGCTACAATATGACTTACAATACATTGTAACTCAGCACTAAGCTCATGTTTAAAACAAACTAGAAGCTGCTGAACAAAGCTTCAAGTGTGAATGATGAGGTTGCCATCTCCTTTTGACCAGAATCCCACCTCTTTTCATGTAATACAGTGCAAATAAGCAAAAACTGCCAAAGGCTGAAGTCTGAACAGCAATTTACACATATGCAAGCAGGCAATTACAGGCTACAGATATCACGTGTCAGTATTAATTGCAGTGCACAACCCCAAAATAAATAACAACTGCTTATACTTACCTTTTCTTTGATTCCATCAGGAAAGCATCTTTCCCCCCATATTGTGCCAGCCAAACAAAACATCCCTCACCAGTGCAGCAGAGCTGCCTGAGGTACTTTCCCTGGCCCTTCCTGCTCACCCATGAAGCCTGCAGGGTAGGTGATGTCTGTGCGAACTTTGCCATCTATTTTGATGAACCTCTGCATGCAGATCTTCTTGACCTCGTCTCCTGTCAGAGCATATTTCAGCCTGTTCCGCAGGAAGATGATGAGCGGAAGGCACTCCCTCAGCTTGTGAGGGCCTGTCGATGGACGGGGTGCCTGCACAAACAGAAGCTTTCTGCTGGCTGCTCAAGCACATCAGCAACAGCAACTACTCCCATGAGGAAGAATATTACTGTCCTGACAGCTCTCGCAGCAGCATCTATGGACAGGTGCTTGAAACCTAACTGCAAAACAAGCAGTGACAGGCTGCAGGCATCTTTCCTTGGTATTCACAGCATCTTTCCCCCCAGATCTGGCCAACTTCAGAAAACATTGCCCCAACACAGTACAACCATCTACTAACCCACCCCAGTGAAGGAAAACCAAAACAATCAGCAGGTTAAAAAGAGAGTAACCAACTGCACCACTTCCCCATATTCTGCGAAAGGGAGATACACAAAAGCTGTTTGCAAAGCTAACAGCAAGCAACCCCGTCTCCCATGCGCTCCCCAACTGCCCAGCTAACCGCCACCCTCCAAACATCGCGCCTGAGCATATCCTTGGCGAAACTGTGAAGCAGGCTGAGCCCGCAGAGAGCGGTAAAGACCAATGTGGAGGGCGACCCGGGCCCCGCCCCAACTCCGACCCGCACTCACGAAGACACCCGTCAGCTTGTCCAGCATCCAGTGCTTGGGCGCAGCAACACGCTTCAGGTGCTTCTTGGGGCCACGAGCCTACAGGACGGGACGCGTTATGGGCCGCTACCAGACTCGGACACCCCAGCCGCTCTTCCCCGGCCCCCCGAGCTCGAGCTCCCGCCCCCACCCTGGCCCTTCCATCGGGCTCCCTCCCAAGTCCCTCGAGGCGGCGGAGGCCGGGGCAGCCCGCGGCGGGCGGTGGATGGCAACGGATGGAGAGGAGAAGCAGCCCCGCCGCGCCCTCACCATGGCTGCGCTCCGCCGGAAAAGAACTACCACTTCCGATCTGCTGCAAATATGCACGGAAGCAGTAGCAGCACTGCAGTGCGCCCCCTGCCGGCCCGGAGGCCTGCTGCTGGGGGCCGGGGCAGACGGGGTGCGTAGCCCCCTCGCTTGGGACCGCCCCGGCGCTCCCCTCGGCGTCCTGCTGACGAGCTGCCCACCGGAGGCGAGGCAGAGTCACAGGTAGCCCCGCCAGTGATGTGGTTTTCTCCGTCCCTTCTCCGCTGCAAGCGGCCTCGGCGGCGGCACCCCACTCCGGGCGGCGGGTGGCTGTGTCCGTGCCCGTGCCCGTGCCCGTGCCCGTGGGGCACGGCGAGGGTTGATATGGGGAGGGTGACGTTGTGGCCCTGCGGTTTAGCAGACCGTGCGAGGGTGGCACATCCCCCCACCCCGGGGCGGGGGAGGCTCGGAATCTCCAGGTACCCCGGCTGCCCCGGGAAGGGGGGGCGAGGAACGTGAGTTCCGGACCACTGCTCTCCCTGGGTCCCCACGTCCCTTCCCTAGGTGCAGCTGGACCCCCTGCGACACTCCCGAATTCGACTGTAGGCCTCAGCACCCGCTCTTGAAGGCAGCTCGGAGCCAGCGGTTCCCAGCTGGGCTCCCCGGGGAGGCTGCCGTGTCCCCCCTCTGGGTCTCCGGGACACCGCCAGCCTACTGCGTCCCGACAGACAACAGAGCTGACCGGCCCCGTACAGGGCGGCCCCCGGCGGGTCTCCGCAGCATCGCTGCCGCAGCAAGGGGCAGGCGGGACAGAGTTCCCATCCTCGGGGGTCATGCAATGGGGACACCGCGCAGGTGGCAGACCCGGAGCAACCGTGAAGCCTGGAGGAGGCATGGGAGGTGCGGCGGCCAGACCCTCCTCACAAGCCGGGCGGCTTCCCACAGGGTCCCCTCTTGTCGTCCCGCCCTGCCCCAGCGCTGAGGTGGAGAGAGAAAGGTGCACAGCCGGGGAAACAAAGGTCCTTTCAGATTTTACTGGACGGCAGCTTGAGCCCTCCACCTGCCCGGCCCAGCGAGGTGGCTCCGAGATGGGGACGGGCAGCACCGCCCCACCGCTCCGACAGCCCCGAGGCTGGCCCTCGCCCCCCGTGCGGCAGCCGGGGTCCTCGCTGCGCCAGCACTGGGCTGCGGGTCCAGGATGGGCCGACGCCGCAGCCGCCGCCCCCGCCGCCCTCCAGCCTCAGCAGCCTGCCGGCAGGTCCGCGCAGAAGTCGAATTCGTGGTGGCCGAGCCACAGCTCCGGCAGCTCCTCCAACCCGTCAAGGCCAAGCTCCAGCATCAGCCAGCCGAGCATTTCCTCGCCCACGGGGTCCAGTCGACGATGCCGGGCCGAGGGCAGTTCATTCTGAAGGTCAAATTTTGTTCATTCTGGTTCCTTTTTCTGTCATGCTCTTTCTGAAATTATCTTTGATTTTCCCAGGCCTTACTCACAGGACTAAGTGGACAAGAAGGAGCTCAGACATTACACCGGGGTGAAGAATTTAGAATTTCCAGACTTTTTTATCATAAAACATTCTGCTTTCAATATACTATACTGGTAGGAGACATAAGCTGTGGATTTTTATGTATGTGAGTTACGTGCTTAGCAATTCCCTCAAATATAAATAATCATATTTAATTATTTTTAAGAAATATCTGGTCTGGGGCTTGGTTTGTTTGTTTTTTTTTAATTCTGTTTCACTGTAACTTTCTATATTTACTTTTTACCATATTGGGTATTTTGCAGGGTTGTTTATTTGGAAGGAACTGGGGCTCAGGTTTGAGCTCAGGCTTGTCTACAGTGGCCATCCAGAACAGCTCTGACGTGATCAGAGTACTTGGAGGATCTGAATCTGGAGGTCCTGTTGAACCAGAAGGTCATCAGCTTCTCTGAGCAAAGTTGGATGGACCTGAAAGGTTAGTTACAAATATCTATATGTCTATAAATATGTATAGGACAAGGAGTAATGGGTTTAAACTTAAACGGAGAAAGTTCAGATTAGACATAAGGAAGGAGTTCTTCCCTGTGAGGGTGGTGAGGCACTGGCACAGGGTGCCCAGAGAAGCTGTGGTTGCCCCATCCTTGGCAGTGTCCAAGGCCAGGTTGGACACAGGGGCTTGGAGCAAACTGCTCTAGTGGAAGGTGTCCCTGCCTGTGGCAGGGGGTTGGAATTGGATGATTGTAAGGTCCTTTCTAACCCAAACCATTCTATGATTCTATATCCATCCATAGTAAAATATCCCTAGATGCATGCATTGCACCTCTCTTTTCAGCGTCCTTTTGCAAAGCAGACTGCACGTCACCCCAGAGATGATGTAAGGAGTGAAGCAGAGGACAAGCAATGTCCCAGCTTGTTATAATTTATTGTTACATGACTTTCTCCAGTTCAGTTGCTACCAGACTGAGACAGTCAGTGGTAGTGCACAGCTGGCATGGGTCTTGGTGCAAAAAATAAAACTGAGGGAACAGGAGAGTGCCCTTTCCACCCAACTTGCCTACTTGGCCCTGTGTTTACACTAGCCCAGTGCATGGGTTCCTCTGGCCTTTGAGACCTATGACAGCTACAGTATGGGCAGGAATACAGCCACCAGAATTACAGGCTACACATCTTCCAAATAGCCATGTATCAAGCATGCTACAGAGAAGCACACCGTGGCCATCTGGGTTCCCATGGAGAGATGTAGCAGGGAGCACATCAGAACCTGCAACTTTTCCTGTTTCACATCAGTATTACTGGCAGTTAGCCTCGCTGTACTGAAGCACCCCCAGGAAGAGGGGGTCACCTGCTTTGCCAGTAAGCTGGACTGTGGCACATCCTCCCCTCCAAGAATGTCCCAATAACATAAATTACGACCTTTACCCCACCTGGTACTGGCGTGAACTTTCTGGGATGCAAGAGGGTTATGAAGGGATGGCATGCAATCCTAGCAGCAACAGTGAAGTGTTTTCCAGGTGGCTTCGGGGCCCATGTCTTCTATGTCTTCTTTCAGTGACTTGCAGAGTAATGGTTTTCCTTCTTATCCCATGGATGATGAAGGGAAGTAAAAGCTCCTTCACCTTCTGCTTTGAGCTTACTAATGCAATTTAATTTAATCTAATCTAATCTAATCTGCAATGAAAGCTACCAAGAAAAATTAAATATAACAAAATATATACTAAAATGTAACTAAGTTCCACATTCACCTATCAGGAGCTTTCTTGATTGATCAGATGTTATTTCTCTAATGCTGAAAAGACTATGAAAAGGGATTTTTTTTTCCTCCAGTGGTGTGATAATTTGATTAATCTTTATATAAATTTGACTAATTGACAAATACTCTAAACTTGACTAGAATTTTAACAATAAGTCTCCTATTGAGGAGAGGAAGTTTTCTGTGGGTAGCAATTAGTATTCCTCAAATGGCTGAAAAATATAATGAAGAGCACAGGGAAGGCTACATTGACAAGGAGCTGCAGAAGCAGGGATGTGGGAAGGAAAAAAAAATGGAACGGCAGTGATGGGGCTTGAAGAAGATGTCATATCAGTGAGGCCTTGACAAGACAGTCAAGAAGCAGAGGAAACCTGTAACCACTGAGAGCAGTGCCTGCAGCTCACAGCCACTCTCTGATGCAATAATCTGTTATCTTAAAGTTTCTGCTGTAGGACACTGGCAGAAGGCACTGCTGCTCACATCAACTGTGAGCCTTTTTTGCCTGCTACTCTCTGGTAGCCATCTTACTGCAGTTTTAGGTATGAAGGTGTGGCCTCCCCTTAAATCCTTCTCAGAATGTAGCCCAGAGTTGAAGAGAGATAAAGTTTTATGGAAAACGGTTAAAGCACAACAATCTGTTCGTTATGGATGATTAACTATTTTTTCCCCTCTTCCTTTCATTGTTTTAGGTCTCTTTCTCCATTCTACAGCTGATCAGCACATCACAGTGATATTCTCTTCTGGGTCTGGAGTGGAAATAAGGGGAAGTGGAGGATTTCTGACCCTGACAGTTCTGCTCCCAGAGAAGTTTATGAGTCACACACAGGGTCTCTTTGGGGTAATGAATGGCAATACAGAGGGTGAGTATACCTTCAAGAATAAAACCACCATGTCAGTTTGTGCAAGGCCCCAGCAGTTGAGTTTGGAGGTAATGGTAAGAAATTTCCCTGATTTATTATTACATTTTCTTTATAAATTCAAAACTGCTTGTGATTTACAGACTATCAAATGAAGTCTGTGCTAACCTGTACTAGGGGAAGAGAAGGGAGTAAGAGAAGTATATCCTCCTCTACTCAAGTGGGTACTTAGTCAACTGAAGACAACCATGATGGAGCGTTCTGCACTTTGTTCCATCAAGAGTCAGAGCTCCTGTTTCACAGCCTACACTTTCAAAATTTTATCTACTATGGTCAGCTGAACACAGCATCATCAGACTACAGTGTTACAGATGTATATCAATAACCAGGGTCAGCTATCTTTTTCCAGAATATTAGCAATGTTTTCATCAAATGTCATACTAGCAATTAAAAAAAAAATCATTAAATCACAATTTAATAATTGTCCTTTTAAAAAAATGTGTGTGTGTGTGGCTGTGTGTAAAAAAACAGCTGCTTTCATTTAATGAAAGTGATTAGGCTGCTGTATCTAGCCTACAACATTACATTGGTCAGTGTTCCTCCTGACATCAGGTTTAGGAGATGGGCCAAAAACACGAAGCAAAATACCCACCAGCTACCAGCCGATCTCTGTATCAAGCACAGTGTAGCTGTACTCCAGGATTCAGATCATACTGAAAAGTCTCACTGCTCCTACTTTAGCAAATTTGTGATTTAGCAGAGTGAAAACTAAAAGCAGTGCTGCACAGACATGATAAATTTAGAGACACAAAGGATTAGGATTTGTGTTGGTTGTAATGTTTGGTTTAGCTAACTCCCTCTGAGGTACTTCTTTATCACCATTTTGCCAGCAAGCATCTAAAACTACCTTTATGTAAAATCACAGCTACATAATTACTTGGACCTAATTTTAAGTAATTGATCAAACACTAACTTTACTGCTAAGTTTAAATGATGCATATGAAAAGGAAAACAATCACCAGATGGAGGCAAGCTGTAGGGCTTCATAGATCTCTTCCAGCTCTGTGTTTACATAACTAAGCACTCAGATAAGC